ATATAATATAATATTGTGATAAGGATGTGATAAGGAAATGGATCATACGAAAAATTTTTCCTGCGAAGAACCGTTCATGTTCCGACCTTATCTTCTAAGACCGTGGTGTAGCCGTGTAGGAACTAGGAGCTCGTTTTAATGTTTAATCGACGATGAGTTGGCTGTTTTTAGTACGATAATATTATGGAAAAATCAATTGTTCCATTCTGACCAAGCTTTACAATAATTTTACTTTTAAAATATTGCAACACTGATTCCGTCTGTTTTTATACTTTTTATACCATGAGACAGAATAGAATATATGACGTGTATAATCATGGACTGGTGTATCATGACCGACATGACCGAGGTTCATAATTTTTGAATTGCGATAGGACCGGTATTGACTATTGACCAATGACCACGAATTACAATATACAATATTTAGGTATATAGCCATATAGGTACCACGATTTAAGATAAATCGTGATAGGTAGTAGGTACACAAGGTATATTATAATTCGTGATAGGTATTGACCTATTTTATTCAATTGAGACAAAGGCTATTAATGGTCAATGTCCACGTAGTGAATTTCCTTTATGTTTAATGTTTATATTGTGATTTTGGAATAGAGGACGTATTATGGTATCATACTTCATGGACCTTCATATTGTCACTAAACATATTATTTTCGATTATAAAATTTAAATATCATTTTATTTTCATTAATATTAATTAATATTTATATAAGTCTTTTGAATGGTATCTATTTCTTTCTTGTTCGTTCTTTGAAAACGATAGAAATTTAAAGTTTTACCTATAGTTGTTTGTTCAGTTTGTTGTGTCTTTTTATTATTGTTTAATATTTACTCATTAGTTGTTGTTAAAAGTTGTGTAACTTAAAGGTAGTTAACAATTTCCTACATTACTCTTGACTTGCCTTATGCTTATTATTATTACACTATTATATACACAGTGCTAAGTTGCAGACCRTAAGTAAATATCGTACTATAGTCAACAATATCTTAGCATATTGTAAATTGTAATACTTTTATTTGTCACTATAGATATGGACTGATCTAAACCTTTTAAACAAGTCGACTGATCACTCACATTCTGTTATTCAAAAGTTTATTTGTTTGCGCAATAAGTCAAATATGGAATATGTGTAAGTACTATATTAAAACACATTATAGCTAAGATTAAAATTTTAAAGTGGTATATAAATATAGGTAATCGCATATAATATTTCTGTGACTTTTTACCTACTTATTACTTCAATGCTATAAAAGTGGGATGAAATTCTTTCTTTCCTMTACCGCATCCGATTTTGGAAAAATCCATTGGGTTTTCTTAATACGTACCCCTGTGTCACTAGCTATTCAAATACCAAGGATTATTGTATATTTTTTAGCGAAGTCTTAAGTAGTTTTTATTGTTTTTAATATAAACATTATTTTTCTTACAACTGGTTTATGTAGTAAGTTGTGTTCCATTAATTTATAAGATGCATTTATAACAGTGTAGTACCGTACTAATCAATTTAAATCATTATAAGATTTGCAATATTTTATATGAAATTCAAAAAAACTGTATTTAATGTGATAATTATGAATTCTATGGTATAAAATCATTGTAAACAAGAAATGATTTTGTGCAAAGG